TATATATATATATATATGTATGTATATATGTTGTGATTCGTGCGAGCATCGATTGTGCTGCCACCTTGGCGGTCGGCGGCAGCGCTTCGTTGCCGCGGCAGCTTTGTAGGCGCAAATGACACTGAGCGGCTCGCGACTCCACACCTGCGCGGCAAGGTGTGCGGCTGATTGCACGCGACGAGTGAGGGAGAGAGAAAGATAGATAGATAGAGAGAGAGAGAGAGAGAGTTTAGGAAAGGAAGATACGCGACGGTGCGATGTGATGGACATGTGAAGACTACACGCTCGGAGCATCTACAGTAAGTGACCCGGTGGTATAGCGGAGACCGAGCTCGTGCTCTTTGATATGCGGCGAGATGCTCACAATGCTTCATCCAATGCAGTATTAGCGAGATTGGATGCGGCATTTTTATGTGTAATATGGGAGGATGGCGCAGTATATCCAGTATGGCGCAGTAATCCGGTATGTAAAAGGTTGGCAGGTCTATTTGTGTTGTAGGGGAGGTTGGCATAGTAAGCTATATAGTGCAGGTGAGGTTTGTGTGTACACCTGTATACTGTATGGAATGTTTTCAAACCAAGCTGTAGGGTAGGGGAGGTTGTCATAGTAACCTGTAGTGTAGGAGAGGTTGTCAAGGTAACCTGTAGTGTATGGGAGGTTGGCATGGTAACTTGTAGTATAGGGGAGGTTGACATGGTAACCTGCAGTATAGGTTAGTTGCCATGGTAACCTGTAGTGTAGGGGGGTTGGCATGGTAACCTGTAGTGTTGGGAAGGTTGGCATGGTAACCTGTAGTGTAGGGGAGGTTGGCATGGCAACCTGTAGTGTAGGGGAGGTTGGCATATCTACTTGTAGTGTAGGTGAGGTTGGCATGGCAACTTGTAGTGTAGGGGAGGTTGGCATATCTACTTGTAGTGTAGGTGGGGAGGTTGGCATGGGTAACCTGTAGTGTGGGGGACGCCGTTGCTTAGCTCGTGCATGTGGTGTAGGGAGTTGGAGGGCCCCCCCTGTAGTGTGGTGATACTGGCACGCAACAAATTGTATTGCGTGATACTAGTGCAGACATTTGTTAGTGCTGAATGCTGGTAAACTCACACGGTTGCCCCGTATGGGGATCCACTGCGCACTCACCTAATCGTAAGTGGAAGCTTGGTATGCGCTCACTTGTTCTGTGAGAGATTGGTATGGTCGACCAAAACTTGGTATGTGTAGGAACGATTGCTGTGTGCAGTCTGTATGCGAGTTGCGCTGATATGTTTTCATGTGTTCCG